CCCTTCCCCTCCCTTTGGGCGACGCCGCGGCGCGGCCCGGAGCCGCGCGGGGCCTCAGCCGCGTCCCCCCCCGCAGGTGGAGGACGCGCTCTCCTACCTGGACCAGGTGAAGATCCGCTTCGGCAGCGACCCCGCCACCTACAACGGCTTCCTGGAGATCATGAAGGAGTTCAAGAGCCAGAGGTAAAGACCGGGCCACCCCCGGGACCCGCAGAGTCCCCCCCGGCCACCCTGCTGGCCCCTCAGGTCTCCATCCAGCCCGACGTCATCTGCTCCATCATTCCCCGGAGCCAGAATCCCCGGGGAAAAGCAGCTCTGTTGTTGCTGCCTGCTCTCAAACCACATCTGGGCAAGAGGCTGCAGCGCGGAGCCGTCACGGCGCGCGGCCTGGCCGGGTCACCCCGATCCTGGTCCCGTGGGAGCGTTTCCCTCCCGCCGCGGCCTGCGGAGCTTGGCGGTCGTTCCCTCTGCTCAGGCCAGTGTCTAGGTCCGAGGATCCCCAGCCTTCTTGAGAAGGAAGCAGATGTTCCCGATACCTCTGCAGTTGTCAGGGTCCAGCTGGTCTTTTTGGTTCGGACACAGGTAACAGACTCCTCTCGTTTCTAGCATCGACACTCCTGGAGTTATCCGGCGTGTTTCACAGCTCTTCCATGAGCATCCCGACCTCATTGTGGGATTCAACGCTTTCCTTCCTTTGGGCTACAGGATAGAAATTCCCAAGAATGGGAAGTTAAGCATACAGTCACCACTGACTAGTCAGGTAGGTTAAAGCCCTTACGTTACTCTAAATGAACTGTGGGGTATGTATCTCTATATAAGTGTCTTGCACAATTCAGGCTACATAGCAACATGCAAAACACGTTTTTGTGTGGTTCTATAAGAGTGGGTATAAATCTAAATATATATTCTCAAAGTTGTCAGCTTAGCCTCCTAAGCTGTGAGTGAGATTCCTGAATGAATTATCAGTGCAACCCCAAAGGCTTCACTTAAATTTGAAAACTGAAACTGTGATTTGCTTGACATGTTTACGTATAATGGCAGTGCGTGGTGTATAATATCAAACTCGAGGAAAAAAATCCTGGAAGAATCATATTTCTAGTCTTCCAGTGAGAAACTGTGAAATGTGTTTATGCATTAGGCAAAAAGAAAAAGGCAGGTGTTGCCATCCAGTTGTTCAAATCCCGCAGAGAAAGACATCTGTTGTAATATAAATAGATATGACTGGTCTTTGCTTCCCTTTTTCCTCTGTGGTTATGGAGTTGAAATAGCACTATCACCTGAATTCGACTTACAAACATATGGTTTAACTCTGATTAGCAGCAGTAAGTCTCTTTTTGATCTTAGTTCTCTTAGATCTCTCTGTCACTCACAAATTCAGCACCTTGAAGGGGCCCTATGTCGTAATCGTGATTGTAATAGAGAACTGGCAGTTCTCCTGAGATAAAACAGTGGCAGTAGAGGCTGCAGTGCAGATCATTTGGTACATTCGTGGCTTCCCTGCCCCTTCCAGTGGAGTGGATAACGTCGCAACAGTGAGGAGCTTCAGTGAGTTGGATAGTTTGTAAGACAGGGCTTACAGGATTCATTTAACTGGTAATGTTAATGAATACTGATAATGAACCGATAATGTTAATAAGGAAATTTATTGGTTATTTTTTTCCTTTCTATTTTATGTGTTAAAATCTCTTTTTAGCTGAACAGCTTGAAAATGCTGATGCTGAATTATTGCACTTGCACCTATGTCTCAACAAGTCCCCGTCTTGCATGTGTTGTGCCACTAGGTGCCCTCCGAGGCTGTCCCCAGCGCTCTCCCTGGCAGCGGGCTCCTGCTCCATTACTCCCAGGAGAACTCACACAACCACAGTGACTGTTCGGAGGAGTTTAGGCAACAGCTTCCGTACAAAGAAGATAAATCCCAAATTCCTTTGGAGTCTGATTCTGTAGAGTTCAATAACGCTATAAGTTATGTGAATAAGATCAAAACACGTTTCCTCGACCATCCAGAAATTTACAGATCCTTTTTAGAAATTCTTCATACTTACCAGGTAAAACATCTTCTATATAAAATTTATCGGTACTGTTTAGGATCTCTACGATTTTGGCTGTTGTGGAGGTAAGAGATTTTCTTGCTTAGCAAGATATGTTTTTATAACTACTTAACATCTGTGTGTATCTTTCAGAAAGAACAGCTGAACACTAAAGGGCGACCTTTTCGAGGCATGTCAGAGGAAGAAGTGTTCACTGAAGTAGCAAACCTGTTCCGGGGGCAGGAGGATCTGCTCTCTGAGTTTGGACAGTTCCTCCCGGAGGCTAAAAGGTCTTTGGTAGGTCTACGTGTAAGGCAGAACATTGAGTATTCTCTGCTTGTATGCAGATACATAAAGAAGCTTTAGCAATGCCAAATATTGTGGAAAAGCCCAGAGCTAGTAAGTGAGCTTTGCTCTTTTTCATTGCCTGGAATTTTACAGGAGACTTGACTACATTCTCTTCATTCTGTTCAGATAAACAGGGTTCTTCATTAGCACATTGAAATCACTATTTATTTGCTTCAGTTCACAGGAAATGGACCATGTGAGGTGAACAGTGTCCAGAAAACTGAGCATGAAAAGAATCTGGAACACAGTAAAAAGAGATCCAGACCACTGCTGTTGCGTCCTGTTTCTGGCCCAGCAAAGGTATCCTTTAACAAGCAAAAATTTAGAATACTCTAACATTACTTGTGCTTAGACAATTGCTTAAAGTTGTAATGATCTGAGTCTTTGGATTATGTAGGTGTTAGGTACAAGAAACAAATTATTTTATTCAATTTATTTTACAGAGAATTACTTAATGCAGCTAAAGGGAGTTGTTAAAGTATGCTTAAACATGTTTTGCTAACATGCTGAATACTAAATATTAGGACCTTCAGTATTAAGTATGAGGAAGAACTCCCTGAAAAGTGCCAGTTGATTGCTTCTGCAAAGGAATGTTTCTCTCAAATTCTTCCTCAAGAAGAATTATACCCTGGTATAGGTCAGCAAAGTAGGATTTTATAGCATTTGAGTCTGACTGCATGTTCTTTCAACAGAAAAAAATGAAATTGCGGGGCACCAAAGATCTCTCGGTAGCAACAGTGGGAAAATATGGAACACTGCAGGAGTTTTCCTTTTTTGATAAGGTCAGTATCTGGCTTGTTCTTGCATTCAGCCATATATAGGGTTTTTTTCTGTGTGTGTGTGTGTAATTTATGTGTCAGCATTTAGCACTTGCCTGACTTTTCAGGTATTGGAAACAGACTAAAGAAAAAAAAATTTTTGGAAGACTAGTGGGAAGTCATCATTAGCATTTTTTCCTGAATGCTTTTCTCTGAATGGATATTTTGTGCATATTGTCTTTTTACGTTGCTGTGAAGCTTGAGTTATTGCCACTGCAGCCACAGTTCAGCCAATGTTGAATATCAGCACTAAAACAGCAGGTCAGACGGTCTCATGTTTCTCTGCAATCTGTGCTTTAGGTGCGCAGGGTGCTGAAGAGTCAGGAAGTCTATGAAAACTTTCTCCGTTGCATTGCTCTCTTCAACCAGGAGCTGGTCTCTGGCTCTGAGCTGCTCCAGTTAGTTACACCGTTTTTAGGGTAAGTTACTGATTATCTTCCCTACTGTGCTGTGCTTTTTAGGCTTGGTTGTCATACCCTATGGTAGGCATCATGAACTTTGTTACCAAAGTTTTGATTTAACTTCAGGTCGTATCTTGTGTGTAGTACACCAGAAATTGAAAGCTAATCTGAAAAGAGAGGTTATAAAATCTGAATCTTTTAACCTGTCTACGCAGCTCCTAAGGAGCAGTTTGGGAGGATGGTTTCCTCTGCCAGAACATCCAGCTGACCGCTGTGCAAGCAGCAGGCAGCCCAATGTTCCACTAAACCATTGGGGCAGAGAGTTCCTGGGCTTTGGAAGGTGGTCTCTGTTCATACTCCCTCTTCTAATTTCTCAAAATATAATGTGAAATCTCAGAACAGAGTCATGAAACAGATAGATAGCTGTAGCTCTGATGTGAGCAAATGAACATTGACTCCTTAGTCAGTTAAGGGCAATATGGGTGAAATTGAGAACGGGAATTGTTTTTTTGCATGAAGTCAAAAGAACATGAAGCACTTCAGAGAACATGAAGCACTTCAGCTATGAAGCACTTCAGAGGGAACAGTAACACATTTAAAATGCTGGTGGAGGATTTCTCATAGTATTGCTAACTTTGCTTAGATTTCACCCTCACTTTTTGACATACAGAATGAAATAACTGTGTACTTGTCTTTGAAGGAAATTCCCAGAACTCTTTGCACAGTTCAAGTCCTTTCTTGGTGTGAAAGAACTTTCATTTGCTTCTCCACTGAGTGACCGATCTGGGGATGGGATGAGTCGGGAAATTGATTATGCCTCCTGCAAACGCATCGGATCAAGTTACCGGGCTCTTCCAAAAACTTACCAGCAGCCAAAGTGCAGTGGAAGAACAGCCATTTGCAAAGAGGTACTTTGTAATCCACCTGTTGAATCTCTGGTAGCCTGTAATGTAGCTTTTCCCAAAGTATCTTCTCGTCAGTACCTTCATATCTCCTGTTTTCTTGTGGTAATTTAGTGTTTATTGAAACACACATTGTACTTAACTTGAACTGGGCTGTTTAGTTTGCCACAGTTTCTGTATCTGGATTTTTGATGCTGATCAGTCAGCTTTCATCTTGGATTTATTATTCATCTGATTTATTGAAATAAGAGTATCCACATGCAGTTTACTGATTTTGTCTAAACCCATCTCAATTCACAGTTCTTACTTTAGCCTCTTTGAGTCTGTGTATGAACACAGATTTTCTCTTATAGACAAAAGATTAAATAGCATGAGATGAAACCCCTCTCCTCACAGAGTGGCCATTTGCAGAAAAGTTGTGAAACTCAGGGAAGAAGACTACAGGAATGAAACAGAAGTTTCAGAAGCAGAAGTTGGGCCCTTTGGGAACACTTCTGAGATCCTGAGGCTCTGCACAATGTCATGGCTTTGCACTCTTGCAGGTGTTAAATGATACCTGGGTTTCCTTTCCATCCTGGTCCGAGGACTCCACTTTTGTCAGCTCTAAGAAGACTCCTTATGAGGAGCAGTTGCACCGCTGTGAAGATGAACGTTTTGAGGTACCTCTGCTGTTTTGCATTGCTGCCTGTCGGAATGATCTGCCTCCTCAAACAGCAGAACTTCTAGTTTTGTTAGTACTCATTAGTTTGAGATAGAGGTCTTTGGGTCTTTTCCACTTGCTTGGAGTCTAGTATGTTCCTTTGAGGCCTGAGTCTAGTTCTAAAGAGCACGTTACCCTCAGGAGAACTGCTGGACATCCATGGGGTGGAGGCTGGAGCTTCTCAGCTCCACCCCACGGGCCTGGAATGGAGGCCACACACCTGGGAATCACTGCTCTCCATTTTCCTGCTGCCTTTTTCCTTACAGTGTGACTTCTTTGAATTCTTTAACAGTTGGATGTTGTCTTGGAGACCAATTTAGCCACAATACGTGTGCTGGAGAGTGTGCAGAAAAAGCTGTCTCGACTGACTCAAGAGGATCAGGAGAAATTCCGACTGGATGATTGTTTGGGAGGAACATCCGAAGTGATCCAGCGTAGGGCCATCTATCGCATCTATGGTGATAAAGCACCAGAGATCATTGAAAGTCTTAAAAAAAACCCTGTTACTGCAGTTCCTGTTGTTCTTAAGAGGTAATTCTCATTCTCCAGTGCTCACATGTCATCTTTAAGAAACGGATACAGGGTTATAAAGCTTGTTTGTTTTCCAAAAGTAGGTGATTTGAGTATTTCAGGTATAAACAAGTCACCATAAAAAGCTGAAAGATTCTGAGAAGGGTGCTCCAGGAAGAAATGCTTTGTGTGTATTTCTGTGATCGCCCTTTCAAACTAAAATAGATTGTACATTTTTGCAGATTGAAAGCGAAAGAGGAAGAGTGGCGGGAGGCCCAACAGGGCTTCAACAAAATCTGGCGGGAGCAGTATGAGAAAGCCTACTTGAAGTCTCTTGACCACCAGGCCGTCAACTTCAAGCAAAATGACACCAAAGCTTTGCGCTCCAAGAGCTTGTTGAATGAAATTGAGAGTGTCTACGATGAGGTGTGTATGGCAGCATCCACCCCCTTGGCAGCATTTTGCGGTATTATCTAAAGTTTCACCTCAAACCTGGGACCTTGCTGAAGTGGTAGTCAGTCAAAATGACAGTATTGCCAAGCACAGCCATTAATATTGGCTCATTTCTTCTGGCAGGAGTGCCTCTTGAGCATGGATTGGAAGGATCTTTATCTGTTTTTCTCTTGATTACAGCATCAGGAGCAGCATTCAGAGGGAAGAAGTTCATCCACAAATGAGCCTCACCTTATCTTTATCTATGAAGATAAGCAGATTTTGGAAGATGCAGCTTCTCTTATCAGCTACTACGTGAAACGACAGCCTACTATTCAAAAGGAGGATCAGGCCACCATTCGGCAGATCGTGCATCACTTCATACCTGAGCTGTTTTTCTCTCAGCCCCCTGAGCACAGTATTTCTGAAGAATCAACAGATGAGGACAGAGAAAACCATCAGGGGCAGAACCTGGATACTCCTGAGCTACGGAAGAAACACATGCCTGGGCCTCCAAGCAGTCCTCTGGAGGCCAAAGCAACCTTCTGCGATGTTACAGCTGCTGAGCCTCACAACACTCTGGATGATGTTTACAGTCTGTTCTTCGTCAATAATAATTGGTATTTCTTCCTCCGCCTTCACCAGACTCTGTGCTCCAGGCTCCTAAAGATCTATCGTCAGGCTCAGAAGCAGCTTCTCGAGTATCGGACTGAAAAAGAGAGAGAAAAACTCCTCTGTGAGGGAAGAAAAGAGAAGACCAATGATCCAGCCATGGAGCTAAGACTGAAGCAACCAAGTAAGAATAGTCCGAGATACAGTTTATTCCTAATGTTCTGGTTGCTCCTGCAAGGCTGTGTGTGTGTGTGAGTAACCTGGAACAGCAGGCAAGCCTGTGAGGAAGGCTGAGGCAGAAGCCTGTGCCATATTCAAGAATCATGGATGCAGCTAATTCCACTAATTCCACAGACAGCTAGCTTGTCATTTATCCCTCGAGGGATCTTATGCATAGCTCATACAGACCTCCCACAAGCATGCTGTTGTCAGATACGTGTCTTGACTTATTAATCTGTTGTTTTGATTAAAAATATAAACAACGACCAATTATTCATTTAGACACAGGGAGTCATGGAAGGGCATGAGAAAGGCTCTTAAAATCTGTCTGCACTCCCTAGGGAAATCTCTCTTTACGTGTGAACTGCTCTTGGTACTGAATGTCGTGAGTCTTGAAAGGTCTTGTCCTTTGTATATCTTGACTCTTGCATGCAATGAGTGACTGCTCTTTTCCCCTCCCCAGGTGAGGTGGAGCTGGAGGAGTATTACCCTGCATTCCTGGATATGGTGAGGAGTCTGCTGGATGGGAATATAGATCCAACACAGTATGAGGACACTCTGAGGGAGATGTTCACTATCCATGCATATATTGGCTTTACTATGGACAAACTGGTGCAGAATATTGTCCGCCAGGTAACTAGTTTGATAGCTGTGCTGTATGTTCGGGGGACAGCACATCTTCCTCTGTACACAGATAACTTCCCAGTATCCCATAACGCAGGAACTCACAAAGCTCAGGGCAAATGCATGGAAAAGTTGTATTTGTGGTGGAGAGCGCCAGGCAGCAGTTCCGTTCAGCTTCAGCTGCAGTACCGAATCACTTTAGGGGACTGAATGTTTCTGGCCTGTTCCAACATTTTCAGAGTTCCAGTCTTTTCAGAGTTGTGTCATTCCCAAAATAGAGCTAAGGGAAAGGAAAGGGCTCCTTCCTTTCTACTCAGTGTCTGTCTTCTAATTATAGTTCTGCTGCAGTTAAGGTACATATGCCCTTTACTCCTCTCTGTACCTTTTACTGTAATAAAAAGGGAGTGAAGCGTATGGAGTCTGCAGGCAGAGTCAAGACTTGGGTACACTGTCTGAGGTGTGATGCTGTGCTGGGTTTTGCACTCCTTTCATAATGTACTAGAGCTAAATCTTAGCCCAGACTTGCTGACTGAATCCCCCTCTTTTTTTAATGGAAGCTTCACCATCTAGTGAGCGATGACATCTGCTTGAAGGTTGTTGAGCTCTACTTGAACGAAAGGAAGCGAGGTGCTGCTGGAGGTAACTTATCCTCTAGGTGTGTCCGGGCAGCTAAGGAGACCAGCTATCAGTGGAAGGCTGAACGTTGCATGGCAGATGAGAACTGTTTCAAGGTAAGAATTTGCTGCCAGGGACTTCATAAAGTGACACTTGACTTGGGAGAAGTAGATTTGGAAGCTCCAAGGTGACAGTGTTAAGAGGGAGCAATATGGGGAGAAGGTCTCCAAAACAGCCCCGTGTCGTGGCAGACTGGCCAACTGGAAAGCCTTGTTGCTTTCTCCTGTCCCGGCTCATCTTGTTTATGCAAGTGCCATTGTCAATATTAAGTATTTTGACGTGGACCCGTTGTTTCTGTCACTTTATTACAGGTAATGTTTCTTCAGCGGAAAGGGCAGGTGATCATGACCATTGAGCTACTGGATACAGAAGAAACGCAGACAGAAGATCCTGTGGAGGTCCAGGTAATGCCAGTGACAGTGGAGTCTGCTGTGCCACAGCCAAAGCAGAAGTCTAGGAATGCCCTTCCTTGAACTTTCTTGTCCCAAAATGTGAGACTTTGCCAGGAGAATGAGTTTGCCTAGAAGGTGGGAAGACTACCCTTGTGGGGCTCTAGCCATTTATACAGCTGGGTATACTAGGAACACAGTTTTACTGTAAATCATCTTGGGGCTGAGTGGTGTAACAGAAGCTTCATAAAAAAACAGCTTGGAAGTGAACTAGTTCTTTTTAGCAGTGTTTGTTCTGATACAGAGAAATCTGACTCGAAATTTGTCTCTCTCACGCAGCACCTGGCTAACTACATGGAACAGTATGTTGGGGTAGAGGGAGCTCCGAGCAACCAGAACGATGGCTTCTTACTGAAACCAGTCTTTCTGCAAAGGTAGCTCCCTCCCTTGCCTGAGTCATATCCGCAGCAGCGGTGCTATTGCCTCCTTATTGCATCTGTGGCAATCATTTCAGGTGATGTGCTGTAACAACAGCTCCAGGGAAATTCACTCTTTGAGGTCTAGAGGGGCTGAAAAATGTAGAAATACAAAATTCATACTTGGGTTATGAGCTCTGTTAGCTTAAGAGACTGTGTAACCAAGTGTGACAAATGCCTCACGATCCTTGTTTTGTTCTAGAAACCTGAAAAAGTTCCGCAAGTGGCAGTGTAAGCAAGTGAGAGCCCTGCGCAGCGAGGTGAAGAGCTCCTGGAAGAGGCTGATCGGGGTGGAAAGCGCCTGCAACGTGGACTGCCGCTTCAAGCTCAACACCCACAAGATGATGTTCATCATGAACTCGGAGGATTACATGTACAGGCGCGGGGCGCTCTGCCGAGCCAAGCAGGTGCATCTCCTGTTACTCTCTCTGCAGCTCAGGCACTAGTGGAGGTTGAGGATTTGAGCCAAAACGCAGGTACCGATAATAAGTCTCATAGCTGAATGCCTGCACACTGTGCCCCGCAGCTGTTACTCCTTCTTGGATGAAATGGAGAGTGGAGCTGGTAAATACTCTGCTTTAGTTTAATTTAGCTGCTTGTGTTTTACCACGCAGACTTTATGGGGGAGCAGCAAACGTTCAGAAACAGAGATCGTTAAAGGCAGGATGCGGCTTCCTGTTCTACTGCTTGTGTTGTTTTAAAGAATGCACATCTTGGATACGCAAATAGGTGAAGATTTTGCTTTCTCCCCCAGAAACCTCTTGGTGATTTTACTGTCCTGTTTTCAGGTACAGCCAGTGGTGCTGCTAAAGCACCACCAGCAGTTTGAAGAATGGCACAATAGGTGGCTCGAAGAGAACGTGACCATGGAGGCGGTTGATCTTGTTCAAGACTGGCTAATGGGAGATGAAGATGAGGAGATGGTGCCCTGTAAAACGACGTGTGAGACGGTGAATGTCCACGGGGTCCCCGTGAACAGATACAGAGTTCAGTACAGTCGCCGTCCAGCTTCACCGTGAGCAGAGACTTGTTCCTGGGACCAAGACAAACAGGAGCGTTGCTGGTGAAACACTTTTACTCTGAGCATAGTGGTGGGAATGCAATGTATGTATTAATGATATTTATCCAAACGGCATTTTACTTTGGAGTATGATGTATTTTCCATATGGCATAGATTTGTCTCCTTGCAGTGTAATCCTCCAGTCATCACGAAGAGACCTACAAGCTTTATGGGAACAGGGCTCTGGGCACTGCCTCACTCTCTAGTATTTCCCAGCTTTAGGCCCCTGCGGAGCAGCCCGCACAGGAGGGCTGAGTGAGGGACTCACACCCTTGCTGAACTAGTGGCTTCAGTGGAGGGCTGGAATGGGGCTGGTGCTTGAGCAGGTGCTGGCAGCTGCTTCCACGTGGAAGGGTTGGACGTGCCCTGTCTTGCTGGGTGTTTCGCTGTTCTGGAGCCTGCAGAACTCTTCAGTGTGACCTCCTTGTGCCAGGGGGCTGAGGGCCCAGGGTGCCAGCCTCCCCCGAGGCTGCTCCCTCATCTCTGTACTGATAAGGCAGTGAACGCAGTATTTGTTACTGGTGCTCTGGGGAGAAAATGCCAAAATTGAGACATGGTTGAGGGGTGCGTTAAACCCTCCACGTCCCTCATCGACGGAATACTCTGGAGCATGAACTGAGGGGAAGAAGCGGAGCTGCAGGGCTGGACAAGAGATCCCGGCTCCCTCGCCGCCGCTTTGGGAACTTGCAGCCTTCCCGGCCCCGGAGCCGCTCGGCACTTGGGGAGGAGCAGCCAGTGCCAGGTCGGGGCTGTTTGTCCGTGTTTCGCATGCTGGCTGGCAGCCTTCCCTTCCCTTGTGCATGCCCGGACTCCTGGATTTCCTGGGTTGTACCACTGAAGTAAAATCACTAGATGGAGCTCTGGAAGTACGGAGCGTGCCCTGGATCCGCGGCTCGTCCTGGAGCCGCTGCTCCTTCTGCTCAGTCAGCACAGATGCTGTGTTTTGCAGTGACGCATGGAAATCTCTAATGGGGAGGATTAGATCCAGCCACAGCCAGCCTAGAGAAGCTTTTCCACTGAACTGTCTGTACTGCTATCTAAGTTTTTAAGAAAAAACAGAAAAGTACCCAGAAGCCTGCAGAACCTTCCAGTGAGTGACTTAAATCTCTTCAAACAAACTCAGTTGTGTCTGTTCTGAAACCCCCCTGTGACTTTGCTCATTTTCAGGAGCCCGGGGCAAGCAAACCATCCACAGAGCATGTAACAAACGTAACGTCCTGAGGCAGGTGCAGCCTCCTTTCAGCACTGCTTCCACGTTTTCCTGGCTTTTAGGAGAATAAAAACCCCCAATATTTTTTGCGGCTTCGATTTTTAGGTTAATAATTTCTGCCAGACCTAAGTAGCAGCCTGTAGGATTTGTCCTGGGTTATTTCCACTGTACAGCATTTGGTTTTTGCAATTGTTTCACTTGACACTAGAAAACTCGGCCTTTGGGGTACATTTAATACCAAACTGTACCAACCCTTTGTCTTCTTTGGCAAAATAGTCCGTCGGCGGGAGGGAGCCAGGCTCCTGGCATCCGGGGCCACTTGCACAAGCACCGCCCGCAGAGGCTTCTCACCAGGAATTCGTGTTCTCCTTGTCCTCATTGTGGCCCCTGGAACGGTCTGAAGGTTCTTGCCCCTGCTCTGGTGGCAGGGGGAGGTATCGGACCCCTGTGACCACGTATGGATGGGGGACAAGCCCAGTGCAAAGCACAGACTCCCCTCTGCTTCCAGCCATACCCACCTCAGTCCTGTCCACCTCTCCACTGCCTTCCAGGGGAGATGACAACTGTGCCAAATTTTATGGTTTTATGATACAGACAAATGTTTATTAGTCAATAGGTTGCAGCTTGTGGCTTAAAATGCATTCGATTCCACGTTTCCCAAGGTGCAAGAGGGCAAGGCACCTGTGCACCATCCTGTTTCATCTCCCTCTTTTTAAGTGTACTTCAGGTATTTTTAAGCATCCTTATTTTGTAAAGCTTAATTTATAATCTGAACGGATTCAGCCAGACTTCTGCCCTTTACAGCGTTACTGTCTCCCAGCTGATAGTGGCCAACAGCGTGAGCGAAGCCGGGGGCCACGCAGCTTGGAGAGGCCCAAGGGTGACCGCTGAGTATCTGCTAGCACGACAGTGATTCAAGAGGTTGTTCTTCCATATTTTTTTTTTTTGAATAATCTTTGCTTTTGGGCTTGTAATTGCTTTGCCAGCTCTTTGAATGTAGGTTTTTTTTATATTTATTTGCACATTCAAGTAAAATAAAATATTGATTTTAAAAGTCTGCCGCTCTCAGCGAGTCCTTTGTGTTATATCGCTTTGGAATTTCTGACAAGCCCTAGACCCCATTGTCTTGGATTGTTTAAAATTCAGGTTCAGGTACAAAAACGTGACTGAAAAGCTGAGGCACCTCCCTTTGAGCAGGTGCAGGGCAAAGTGCAGAGATTAATCGTTTGGACACGGGCCAGCACCCTGGTGGGAGAGTAGGACCCATAGTCCAACAAGGGCACGAAGGCTTTGGGGTGGCAGAGCTGCTCCACAGGGAGACAAGAGGTTTCCAAAGCCAACATTTTGCAGCGCCAATAACACCTTTCCGGCTGCAGGTTGGTTCTTGTGACCAACACCTTGACCAGGGTGAACACACAGCCCCAGCCTGGCCCCCAGAGCTCGCACACCCAATGCAGCGGCCTGATTCCAGTTCGGAAATCTATGAGCACATCTGCTCCAGGTTAAGACAACACAACTGCAAGCATGAAAATAACCCTCCGCCCGCGTTTCCCTCAACCTCCCCAAATTCCTGGGTAATAACATGTTTCACTGTTCCCTGCGAGCTCTGCACAACAAACAAATGTGTAGTTTTTTTGCAAATTAAGCTACAGTGATGTGACCCAGATCTGATAGGAGTTTCCTTTACATCATTCTCAACACTTCCGTTGCCATAACAAAAGGCAGCTCTCCTTTCTGTTCAGCGTTATTATTTGCTCACAGGGATACAAACTGTTGTTCTCCTAATAACAGTCCTCTGATGCATAAATTGCATGGACTAATTTGATAAAAATGATGGCAGGGGGTCTCCGAGGACACAATTTGCTTTGCACAAAAGTCTCCTCTTGGAGATCTTGGACTCCTTTCAAAGAGGAGGTCCCCTGGGCTCCGAGGGAGGCAATAGGCCCTGCAAAGGGACAGCCAGATGTGACATCACCCAAGAGCAGTTGGAGACCTCAGCAAGTGGACGGATTTGGCAATGGTAAAGAAGGACACCTTAAAAATATCTTTCGAGTTCGCTGGGTGGGATAAGAACTAATGGTTTTCTAAATTCAATTAGGAAAGGCTGAAGGGAGTACCTGAATTAAGGATCTTGCATCTTACGGCTGTTCTTTTTCACATGTTCTCATCTCACAGTGACATGGAGAGAAAGAGAAGGGCTGCAAACTGCTGGGACAAGCTAGAATTACGTGTATGTAAATAGGAGCTGGGGTTTTCTTCATGCTTTAGCCATTCCTTTGGAGCAGCACGAAGGAGCTTCACTACAATGAAGCAAGAGATACCCTCTGTCTCCCCCTCATCAAGTTAAACTCCTAAGTTTAGCAATTCTAAGCTGTACCTGTGTTAAACGATGAGTCCAAGGAGATGGCGCTCAGACATTGAGCTCAGTGCTGAGAAGGGGTGAAGGAGTCTGTCCTCCCCTCGCCGCCAGTATCTTCTGGAGAAAAACATCAAAAGAAGCTGTTCCAGAATATCCAGTGAATCGTAGCAACGCTAACACACTTCAAATACTCCCTAATGATGGCTTCGTATGGGCTCCCTATGCTTTTTATACTTATTTTTATGCTTTTTAGGAGATGACCACACAAGATTTGGGATTTGGGAAGTGGGTGGGACCCCATAGAAAGGAACAAGCAGAAGGGGACAGAGGCCACACAGCTCCCTGGCATCGGGGTGACCAAGGGAGCGCAGGGGCAGCCAGGGTGACGGCGCAGCGCCGAGGTGTGAATGATCCCGCGGGCGCCGGAGCTGCAGGGACGAGGCCGGGATGCGCGGAGCGCTCCTGCTGGAAAGCCCCGTCCTTGCTCTGCGCCGTGCCCCGCGTCCGCAGGAAGCGGGAGTTGTGCTGGGCTGCGGGAACGCTCCGCGCCGGGGCCCCGCGAGCTCCGCTCCCGCTTCTCCCGACACCGACCGACCTGCAGCCGAAGCAGCCTCGGAGCGGAGCGGGAATGCCAGCTCCACGGCAAAGAGGCTCCTCGCTCCTCAGGGTTCATCTTCCCGACTCTCCGGAGGTTTTCCTGGGGCAGTCTGGTGGTGTTGGCACCTGCCTTCCCTAGCCCGTTTTCCAGTCTTACACCTTTCGGGTCCAGAGCCATGGATTAACAAAGTGCCTTCTCCCAGGAACAGATCTACTCGATCTTGAAAAACACGTGGTTACCCCGAGCGCAGGGATCACGCGACTTCAGGAGATGTTAACAGGCCAGGACCAACCTCTGGCACTGGGATTTTCAAGCAAGCTGTTCTGCATCTAAAGCAGTCACTAAAGATCACAGAGCATCTGAAAAATGAGGGCCACAGCAAGGAGTAACCTCTCTCTGCTCCACTCCAGAGACCGGCCATAGGAAGCAGGGCTGCAATTTGCACACTCTCTGAACCTGATTATGTCAATTTTTTTTTTTGCATACAGAGCATGGAAAGGATCCTGGTTGAGGCATGGAAAATATGTGGCCACATGAGTCATTCTGTAATGGTTCATAAATCCTGAGAGATTCACAAAAAGCAAAACATCTAACATTGCATCTTCCCTGTCCCTGCCAGTGGAACTCCACCTCTCCACACGCTCGGCACAAGGATGTGGGAATTCGGCAAAAGCAAAGGAAATAGGATCATTTTCTCCTTGGAACAGAGGAATCTCATCAAACAGCAGCCAGGCTCGGCTTCGCAACCTTCACAGAAGAGGCCATTCATAAGCTGAGCAGAAAGAAATGAACTATTGCTCAGGTTGCCAAACCAAATTTACAGTTCCTACTGCCCGGCCTCCAGCTTCTGTGTTTGCTCCCTTGCAGAGCCAGGCAGAACAGAGCAAAGCTCCAGCCCGGCCGCCTTCCCAAGCTCCGAGCTCCCGGCCCGCTCCGGTGCTGGGAGCTGCTGGTGCCGGGGCATTTGCAGAGGATCTGGGACCTCCCTAGCAAGATAGTGGCAGAGGGTGGAAGGGATCTGCACTCCCAGAGAGTTAAAGAACAGGGTTCCAGCAGCCGAAGATCCTAGAAGTTCAGGGAGCACCAGCTGGTCCAAAAGGGACCTCTTGGGGCCCTCCACGGACCATCTCCATGAGCCAACCGCAGCTGCCTGTTGCTGCAGGGTGTTGGTTAGCAAGAAGGCTCCAGCCGCCTGTGCAGTCCGCACCCCCTGCACACACACTCGGAAGCACCGTTATCAGCCCGGCAGCAGAGACACCCTGCGGGTCCCCGTCACGGCCCCTTCCTGCGGGAAAGCCGCTCCCCGCTCCCGGGACTTTATCGCAGGAGCGCAGGGCTCTGCGGCGCCCCGAGGCCTCGGCCCTCACCGCCCCCTTGCCACAGCCCTCCAGGCTGCTGATTCTCTGCCATGCAAATAGGCTGCTAATTAATGGCTCTTAATTAAGCTCTGCAGTGTGGTCATGGGGGAAGATGCCAGAGCCCTGACCAGGGAGCCAACAGGGGCTCCTGCAGGAGGCCCAGCCTGACCCGAGCGGCCAGCAGAACCGTTGAGGGGCAGCGCGAGGCCTCAGGAGCCCCGTGCCAGGACATGGGGAGCCCTGCCCACTTCCAAAGCTCCCCTTGTGCTTCCGTGGGGAGGTGACATCTTGTCACAGCGCCTGGGAACGTTCTGCACGTTCTGGTGGGGAAAGACCCGGGATCTCGCACGTGGGGGGAGAGGCTGAGATCAGAGGTGCGGAGAGTCAGCGGGTTCAGTTCATCCTCCAAACCAAACTCAGGCTGCATCAAACCGGGTCACATTTGGCATTTCCAGGAATATTCTGGAGGCGGAAGGAGGCCCAAATGAGTCACTTACGGCTCTGGATGCAGCCCCTCCTCCTGGCCCGCAGCTGACGCAGGAGCCGAGTGTCCTCTGGCAGAAGCCAAGCGCTGGGGACGCGGTGACGGCCCCCACGTGCCTCATCCGTCCCACGACAGGATAGGGCTGGTGCTTCCGCGAGTTAAGGACTGACAGGAGGGATCCTGCGGGAGCAAGATCCGAAATGGCCCCCGGCCGCAGCATGGGGACCCTCCGCGCCGCAGGGCTGGCGCGCGGCCTCGCGCTGTGCTGGGCCTTCTGGGGACTCTGCTGGGCCTCGCCAGACTACGACGGTGAGTGCTTGGGCGAAAAACCCCTTCTCCTGAAGTACTGGATACTTGGTATCCTCCTGAGACCCCCCAAAGCTCCTTTCTGTGAAATTATGATTTGGATGCTCTCCAATTGAAACGGGTGCAGACTCTTAACTGAAGCAGATGATACTTACAGAAAATAAGAGAAAAACTGGGGCAGGACATGGGAATAGGCCAAGGAGCCCTTGAAACCAAAGGCTTTAGCTCCAAGTTAGGTCCCTGTAGCCACAGCTACCCTGGAGGGGGCTCCAGATTTTATGATTCTTCTAAGAGTCCCATGAAGGAAGAGCTCGCAGCAATTATACAGCACTTGTACTGATAATTGCACGGCCCAGAAATCATCTGAGAAGGCTGAGAAACTGGTCTTTTCTCCTACGTTCTTGGTTCTCTCAGGTAGTTTTCTGCGTGTCACAGTTTGCAGAACGCTCTTGCTCCCAGGACCCCAACGTAAAAGGCAAATCCTCAGGGTTTGAGGGGTTACACACGGGGAACGCACAAACAGCAACTAACCGACTGTTTTCCCGGACAGATTATTCCCTGAACAACACCAACGAGCACCTAACGACGTCGGAGAACACGGCGTGTCCCCGAGCCATTCCTGCAGAGAAGGTGACGACAGACAACACCACGTACCTGGTGCTGCATGCGGCGGCCCGCGCGCGGCTGGCCAGCGCGCTCACGGTGCGGCTCGTCCCCTGTCTCTACGCCCTGGTCTTCCTCGTGGGGCTGCCCTCCAATGGGGTGGCCCTCTGGGTGCTGGCCACGCGGGCTGAGAGGCTCACGTCGACCGTCTTCCTCATGAACCTGGCGGCCGCGGACCTGCTGCTCGTGCTGGTGCTGCCCTTCAAGATGTTCTACTATTTCTCAGGGAACAACTGGCCCTTCGGGGAAGGTCTGTGCCGGCTCACCACGGCTTTCTTCTATGGGAACATGTACTGCTCGGTGCTGCTGCTCACGTGCATCAGCGTGGACCGCTACCTGGCCGTGGTGCATCCCTTCTTCTCCCGCTCCTTCCGCACGCCGGCCTTTGCCGCCGGCGTCTGCGCGGCCATCTGGCTCTGCGCCGCTGTCTTCACGCTGCCCCTAAAAAAAACGTCCCCCCTGTACAGGGGGGACGTCACTCTGTGCCACGACGTCCTCCCCCGGCACGAGGACGACGGCTACTACTACTACTACTTCGTCTGCCTCATCGTGGGCGCCTTCCTCGCGCCGCTGCTGGTGACGCTGCTCAGCTACGGCGCGGTGCTGCGGGCCCTGCTGCGCGCCGGCGCGCGCTACGCGCACTCCGTGAAGCTCACCGCGCTCGTGCTGCTCACGCTCGTGGCCTTCTACACGCCCAGCAACGTCCTCCTCCTCGTGCACTACTCCAGCTCCTGCTCCAGGCTGCACGGCGACCTGTACGTCAGCTACATGCTGAGCTTGGCCATCAGCACCTTCAACAGCTGCGCCGACCCCTTCGTCTACTACTACGTTTCTGAGGACTTCCGGGATAAGGTGAGGAGAAGATTCTTCAGTCACAGCAAACAAAGCGCCACATCCCTCAAGACATCCAAAGAAACACTCCCTCCCAAAAGTTCCAAAGAGTCACTGGTGTGAAGCCTCCACCCAACTCGCTGCTCCCAAGGCCCTCACAAAATACGCTGGAGCGAGACAAAGACACCGCTGAGATTGCACAGATTCCACCCAGAGGAGCGTGCTGTGTTTTCCAGGAGACAAGTCCTAGTACGGAAGAGACAGGGCCTTCCAGCTGCATGGCTAAGGCTGAGTTCAGCTGGGCCATGGGCGTTCCTGGGAGGTCGTGGCACACTGAACACACGCGTCTGTTCTCGGGACACCGTATGCAACTGCTCATCTGCTCACACACTGCCAGCGCAGCCAGCTCTGCTTCTCCTAACGCGCCTACAGCCTGGCTGCCGCGCGGGGTTTATTTCTGTCTCTGCTATTGCCTTGCTTGCTGTCCTTGAACATACACTTCACCTGAGCTGAAAAAGAACAGACTTGCAAAATCAATTTTCTAAACATTTCAAAGGAACAAGGAGAAGCCTGTGCGAAAGACACTCTCCCGAGTTAAACGATGCTGCCAGGAGCACAGAACACTGGCTGCTTCAGCAACTGCATTCTTGGCTTGACTACTAATTAACACCATGGCAATGTCAGCCTATTGTTGAGAAGGAATGCAAAAATCACATTCATTCATTTCCATTTTCACAGACAACCTTTAGCAGCTCTAATTACCGAGGCAAATACCATACAAATGAAAGAGTTTTGATGCCTCCAGAAGGGAAATATTAAAGAGGAATATAGGAAAATTTCCCTCGGAACTCCACGTTTCCTCTGTGCAACGTCACACAGATAAAAACCTTCTCTGACAAAGCAGACGATGGAGCTCCAGGGTGGGCTTCACAACCTGGGGGCACCAAGGTAGAACACAAGCAATAAACTTCCCTAGAGCTCCCTAATTCTTTGGTTTGAGTGGTACAGGGATGACTTCTGGCCTCAGCATAACCTGTGATCTAACAAGCTTAGAGCCTGCAACGTGAATGAAGAGAGGCAGACAGGATCATTTTAAAACCAGTTTTTAATAAAATATTTATCAGAATCTAAAACAAATCCTTTTCTGGACTCAGACTTGCTAAGATTTGTGTGAACAAACCCAAAATTGTCACAGAACTGTTTGTGTGTACATATATGCGCGGGGTGAAATCCTGGTGAAAACTAGAGCCTAAGGGTGCAGTTCTGGAAACGTAGAGGAGGCTACTGAATGCAGGAGACCTGGGGCAGCCAAGCTGCAAGCCAGGGCTACTGCCACTCAGCCAGAAACTAAACAGATGATCACAGCAATTAAATCCAGGTTATTGTGCATTAAATAGTGTCAGCAAAGCAAGTGCTGTTGTTTTAATGATGTTCTTTAAGCAAGTTGAACATTTTTGTGATATTTGTTTTCTACTGAGGATGATTAAAAAGGAAAGAGGAAAAAGATCAGAACACATGGATGAGAATGGACAAGGGAACTATTACTTTAAAATAAATATCATGGCAATGATTACTCTGCATAATGTACAGTTACAAATATAAATATTAACCTCATCAAAAGGATTGCAAGCAAAAAACACTGATAACTAGCACTGCTGCAGCTAGTCAGTAATGTAACGTGATGCAAGTAGGAATCTGTTTCATACAAACTTATTGGCACTTTTCTCCTTTTGCAATGGGGGACCATCCGAGAAAGGAAGAGAGAAGCATCTCTGCAGAGGAAGGCAAGCGTGTCCAAGCCAGAAACAACTCAAAGCCCAAAGGAGCAGCAGCTTGGCCATTCTTGCTGGCTCTCCACCACAAATTCTCCCCCTTGGTGAAAAAAAAACCTATCAATACCTTTTCTCCAAACTATGAAGGGCTGATCTCCACAAAATTAGAGCCTGAGTTTTCAGTGCTGAGGTGTCCTTGTTTTCTCAGAGAGGTGTGTGACTCTGATGAGCTTCAAGAGTCAGAACTGGGCCAAAACCTATGAGTAACACCAAATCTGATCACACAGCGCTGTGTGCAGCAGTTCTCCTGGACCTAGTCCCAAAGGGTTTCTGTAGCACATCCAGGGTTTTAGAAAAATGGAGGGAAAATGAATATTGATTTTTTTTTTCACAGATAAAAGTTAATTATGATTGTAAGAAACAGGGAAAACAAAGCTGTGCAGAGTGGGACCATCAGCTGGAGGGGCCGGGCTCTGCAGGACAAAGACTTTAAGGTGTTCTGCATGTGCCCAAAGCCTCTCTGCTCCATTACTCCTGTGAGGTAGCCACAATTCCACAGCTGTGGTTTTCTTTACTCAGCTCCTTCAGATTGCTTTTTATAACCACAGAAGGTGATGGGTTTGGCAGTGCAGAACTGGGGGGAGGCAAAGGCTGCCAACAGGTACCCAGGAACAGGGCAAGGCCAGTCCTTGAGCAAAAAGCAAAGGGGCCCTGGAAGTGCCACAGCTGAGGAGCACCACGCGAGGTGATGCCAGGCTCCCACACGCAGGAACTCTGGCACTCTGTGTCCTGCTCTAACCACTTGCACTGAACCACATGCTAAACCTGCCTCAGCCTTCTGGAGAACCCGTCTCTCTGCCAGCCCCTCTAGTGACAGAGCAGAGGCAACTCTCCTGTCCCAGACAAATCAGTGCATGGACACACAGCGACGCTGCCGAACAAGGCCACGACTCATGGGCTGGTACCATGACAAGAAATTATTCAGTCTGCAGCAGCGGAGAAAGTGTTGCAGTCTTGAACTAGTACACTACACGTAAGAGCCCAAAATGAAGGAGTTGAAATTAGTACTCAGCTGAAGCTCCCTACCTTCATCTCCTTGTCCCCAGTGTGATGCTGTCTGACTGCCCAAGAATCTGAGAGGACCAAGCAATATAAAAATGACTTCAAATATCTGAAAACATTCAGTAGATGAGAAAAGGAAACTAAAGCCAGAAAGGGACCAAGGACAGGAAGCTTGAGAACACAGAGCATAGGTCCCATCTTCAGTGGAAAGCTAGACAGACACCATCAGGTGACCAAATGCCTCAGTCTCCCAGACTTAAAGCATCAAACAACTGAGGTTTGAACCAGCAAACAGCATGGCTTGTATTGTGCAGCTTTCATATTTAGGGGAAATTTTAAAAAAAACCCTCTTGTTGCACCTCACACTAGGTCTGTTATTTACCCTGGGGATAAATATTGACTCAGGCCTGTGTGTGTACACAATAGCCAGCATCTGCCAGGCCCGCTGCTTACACGGAGATGGAATTTAGTTTAAAGGCATTTATTTACCTGCCAGAGAGGAATGCAGCCGCCAGTGTTTCCGCTGTGCTGTGGGACACAGTGAGGACGTGGTCTGTTCACGCACACTGAGGAGACGTGGCAAAAGGCTCTGGGTACACTGGGGCAGCAGCCACATGAGGGTTCTGTGAGGAGAGCTCAGAGCAGCCGCGAAAGGAGGCCTGGAAACTTGCCAGGAAAGCAGCTCTGAAACTTCTGGGAACTTCGAGACCCAGACCTTCATCATGTCAGCTACATTCTGCAAATATCTGGCCTCAGAAAAAACACTGGAAGCTGCATATGCCCAGTTTCTGGGATACCTCCTGTTTTGTCCCCATGTGGACGTTCTTCTGGAATAAAATTGCTTTTATTCCGGAATGGAATGTCTATACTGCGATATAATTTTGTCATGGTTCCTGTGTAAATAAGCCCTAAAAATGAATGGAGATGGGCTTTTTCCTGTTTCCATTCACCAATAAACACTCCCAAAGAAGTTTCCACCCCACTCTGGGCCTTGGTAACAATGGAAGCAGGAGGATAAAAATCTTAATGCTATTTTGCAACAGGCAATTGCATGCAACTCCTCCAAAGAGGATGCTGCTGCTTCAGGCAAGAAGGGAAACCAAAAAATGTTGGCTCCCAAAATTTTGGAGACACAAAGCTTTTGTTTCTCGTTTCACCACATCGCTTGGGGCAGGTCACACTAAGGGAGTCCAGCCTCTGTGACACCAGAGTGGTTTGCACTGGCCAGCAGACCCAGAGCCATATGGGCTACGCACAGAGTTAACCACATCCAGCACCACCAACATATGGGGGTCCTGGTGGGAGCAGAATAAAAGTGACTGGTGGAATGGAGTAAGCATTTAAAAGGAGTCTGCCTTGGGTCAGTTTTCACGCCAGGGTGACAAGGAGGAAAGGGGGCTGCAGGGCTGAGAAGGCTGCAAGCAGCACTCACCAGCACGTAGTGCAACACGAAGGGGCTCCCCTGCCTGCCCCTCGGTGCTGGTTTGGCTCACAGCCTCCCCGCCGAAGCCGGCGGCCACGCCACAGACCAGGAGGCTTTCCAGCCCTGCCACCTGGCAGGAGATCTCAGTTCTCTTGCAAAATGGACCTCCAAACCACCTCGATGAACATGGAGGCATTAGGGAAGTCTCTCTCGTGAGACAGTGCTGTGGGTACAGTGGACTTGTGGGCTGGGGAAGATGATTAGCCTCTTGCTGTGTTGTAATTAGCAAAACACTGACTTTTATTATAATAATAATTTGAGAGAAAACTCCTCAGCCATCTTTCCTCAAACAGCAGTTCAGCTAAGCACAAGGCCTTGGACTTAGCTTCTAATTGGAGCTAGGAAATGGCATTTGTAGAATCTTGGAAATAGAGAAAACACTTTGAAATGATCTAAAGATTCAAATTCCAGCCCCTATTTTTCTCGCCTAAAGGGGGACAGCATATTGATCTCACATCCTTGGAAATACTCCCAAGATGATGCACAAAAGGCAGAAAAGCTGACAGAAGAATAATGCTGAGCGTCCCCCTTCGAGCTCCAGATCCCCCCCATGGGGCAACAAAGCCTACAGTTCTGAGGGCATCAGGAAGTAGTCATCATTTGGTTTCTGTTCTGCAGCAGGACGTCTGTGGGAACAAACTCATACAAGAGTTCATTCTGAGCCTCTTCTTTTTATTTAAATTATATATTTCTGTTGAAAAGAGAACATAAAAAAGAAAAGTCACCTTCCCATTACATATCTTTGTGAAGCATCATTGGGGCTGGGCAGAGAAAAGCCCAAAGGGTCACTTTTTTTTTCATTCTGTCAAGGATAGG